CAGCCAGGCTTCGTGGTGTGCTTGTCCCAGACTAAAGGCCAAAAGCAAAGAGAAAATCTCTCAGTGACCACATCTTTCTGGGTTTGGGGCCCCAGGGGAGAGATGTTCAACACATTCCTGGACTGCTGACGGAACATCCTTCCTGTTCTGGGGAAACACGGAGGCGTGCCCAGGACCAGGCTTATGGGGCTTTTGCTTACTGGCATGAAGGAGAGGAGATGGTTGCCCAATTGCCCTCCCTGGAGACTCTCCTCTATAAGGGGGCTTTTGGAAGCAGTCAGTTTTCCCCTACTGACCTCTCTAGCACCAGGGAGGGTAGCTGCACTGTCACCTGATTCCAAGTAGCTCATCCATTTACTTCCGTCACTAGGCATTCCACAAGATACACTTCTTTGGAGGAACAAACTAAGAATTCCCAAGGAGACTGGGGATGAGATTCGCATCATCTCCTGCAAGACTGTTCACAGTCTTTGCAAAACCCTCAGACAGTCCTAAGTGGGAAAGGACTCCAAGTCTCTGGCTTATTCCACTAGTTTCAATGGTTTGGGTTGGAGTTTGGAGAAGAGTCATTGTCTGCCAGGGATTTGGACAGGAGCCCAGCCAATACCTAGGAGATGGGAGAGCTCTGAGCTGCCTCTGCCTAGAGGTACAGGTGGGAGTCTGCATCTTCCTCGTCGGGCCCCCCAGGCTCTGCATCACCATGCCAGCAGACACTGTGTGAGGGCCAGAGGATTGGCAACCTGGGCTTGAGGATGTGGGAACAGGTGGGAAACCAATGCCAAAAATGCCAAGGATAGAGACATGAGCTGGGCTACTGGGAATGGGGCCCTGGAGCCAAAAGGATTGAGAGTGAGTACCCGGCAGTACCCAGCTCTTTTTAGAGTAGGCTGAGTCTACAGCTCTCATACGTGACTCCCCAAAGTCGTCCTGTTCTGGACAAGTCAGGATGTCCGAGATGCCATGAGCTTCTTGAGGCTGGGACAGCTTCCCAAAACTGGAGAACGCAGGAGACTGGTAAAGTAACACCTGACTTAAGGTCACAAAAACAGTGAGTGGTCTCCACGGCCACCCCTCACCATTGGACTTTGCAGGGAGAATTCTCTGAAGCCCCAGGCCACCATGGAGCCAATGGAGGACCCTGAGAGCACTCCTTCTATTCCATGCTAGTCTCTCAAATACCTTCCTGTGAACCCCATCTTTCAGGTTCTAAATAAGGGGGTCCCATGGCAAGCTGAATTTCTCTTGTCATTCAGAAATGGAAGATTCAGTCAAAACCTGGTCAGAGCCTACCATGTGTTGATGCTCAAACAATCATAGGAGCCCAGGACCTAGGGTAGGATCTTTATTGGTGGACCCCAATGAGAGGTGGGGGGAGGGAGGGAGAGAGAGAGAGACAGAGAGAGACAGAGAGAGAGACAGAGAAGAAAAATAACAGGAAATATTGAAGACCTCTCTTGTTTCATGAGACTTATGTATATGCACGAGTATACTGGGTCATGATGAATACTCATTGTACTGTGGATTGCAGTTAGAAACTTGAAATGGCTGTCCCGGAAGGCCCCTTTCATTTAGTTGTTTTTGTTACTTAAGATTTCTTCCATTTATTCATTTCATTTTCATCATCTGAACATAAACAACAAGAACAGTCCTAGATCCTTTTTGACCTAAAAGATAGATGAGTTAACTTTTCTGAACTTAATTTCTAAAACAGATCTAAAAGAAGAAACTAAGTGTGACGATGGTTTGGTCCCTTCTGCCTCCATGGGTCTGTGACTCAGTCACTCAGGGATTCTTTCTTTATCTTTTTAAATAAAAAAAAATTTATTATTTTTATTTTATGTGTGTACATGTATTGCCTGCGTGTAGGTAAGTGCACCCATGTCGTGCAATGCCTGCAGAGGACAGACGAGGCTGTTGGATCTCCTGGCACTGGAGTTATGGACAGTTGTTAGCTGCCATGTGGGTGCTGGGGTTTGAACCTGGGTCTTCTGCAAGAACAGTCAGTGTTCTTGTCCACTGAGCCATCTCTCCAGCCCCAGGGATTCTGTCTTTCTTTAGGCATTTGTTGAGTGAAAGGTTTGCCTTCTGTCTTTCCATATCTATAACCATAAAATATTTAAGGGGAGGAAAGGGCCCTAAAAAGGGGGAAAGCAAACAATCAGAGGGGAGTGTCCCATCCAGAGCGCAAAGGGCACTCTTTTACCTGGAAACCCTCTGTCCCAGGCACATGATCTGTGGGAACCTCAAAGGGACAAGGTGACCCACTTGAGCTCTGGCATCATGGCCAGTGGGTCAGAGAGTGTCAACCAGTCTCAGGGCCAGTGCTCGGCATGCAGAAAAAGGGGAGCCTATAGGCTGGGGACAGGCAACTTTGCCCAAGCCACCTGAAGGCACTCAGAGCTGGTGGAGATGCCCAGAGGCCAGGCTCTGCCTTGTACTGGGTGACCTCAGGCTGGGCCTTGGAGTCTTTCTTGCGGAGAGCATGACCTGGTAGGGTTTAGTAGTTTCTCCACAAATGGTTGACTCAGTGTGGTATCTTGAATGGATCAAATACATAGATGGTTCCTGGTACAATTTATCAGAGATGAGTACTGAACAGAGGCAATCTGGATATCTCCAAGTGATCAATACCACCTTTCCTGGGGACAAGAGAAAATGCAAGAAATGTCTTCAAAGGGAAATTTTGTGTTTTCCTCAGAGGATCTGGTGTGTGGTTCATACAACAGTCTAGAATAGAGTTTAAAGCTACTAGCTCTGCAGGGGAGAGTTCACAGAGAATGCTGCCTGTTCAAAAGGCTTCCAGGGAAGAGGGCATGAGAAAGGGACCTCCATTAAGTACCTGGTCAGGGAGAAGAGGAGTTAGGAGACAATGAGAGAGTCTAACCAAATGGGAGTGAGGGTGTGAATCTCATGAAATCTTACCTTTTCACTGTTGTAGAATAACCTTTCTAAGAATAAAGCTGATGTGAAAGAAGCATCCTTCTTCCATAGAAATACAAAGCAGCTGGTTATGAGGTGACAAACCATACCACAGGGTAATGTATACAGTGAAGACCAGAAGTGATGGCTCGGATCACGCTAGCTTGGAGATGTTGGGAAAGGTTGGATGGGATGGACAGAGATCTGAGGGAGAGCAGGGTCTAGAGGGGCAGATGAGAGATGGTGGTCCAGGAATTGCCAGAGGATGAGAAGGGCATAGCTAGGGACATGGTAATGAGACTAATCCCAGGCTGTGTTGAACACAGTCATGACATCTGTAGTCTTGCAAATTTGCCAAACCTAGAACCTCTGGGTTATCCCAGGGTTGCTTTCCTAAACTGTGACTCAATGGATGAAAATGCATGGATGTTTTTAAAAAGTTTTTGAGAGGCAGCGTGGAGCAATGGAGGTGTTCAGAGAAAAGACTAGGGTTCAAGTGGCCCTGTCATTCCCCAGCTGTAAAAATGTCAGCAAGTTGTTCAATGAGGAAAGCGCATTCTACTTTGTCTGTCTTGAAAGGTTGACATGAAACCTGAATACGGCTTTCTAGGGAATTCTTTTTATACTGTAAAGCATGTTAAGTACCAGCTTAACTGCTGTGAAAAAGGTTCACAGTTGATGACTAGGGGATGTTGATAAGGTGTATTTGCAAGAGGCCAAGACTGTGAGTGACCAGTCTCTTCCAGAGGCTCATGGGACTTCTTTGAGTCCCTAAGGTGTTGGTGGCTGGGATTTCCTCCCAGACGTCTCTTCACATGAGCATCAACTTTCTCACAATGCTCTAGAAGGATCTTTTTTTTTTCACTACAGTAAAGAATCAGATTGAAAGCTTCCAAAGGCTACTTTTATTTATTATTTTGGATAGATTGTCCATTCCAAAATTCAAATGTCTCTTCTGTTTTCCATTTTCTTAAGCCTTCCAGAGAGCAAGGTCCCAGACAGTCGTCAGTGAACTGCTTGAGGGTTTCCCCCAGAACCTCACTGTCTGGAGGTGCTTCCTTCTGTGTTTAGCCTCAGTCTGTTTCTGGGGAACCAGCCATCGAGAGCTGAGAGGGACTGACTTTCTACCACCTCAGCACAGCTGTCTGGGAAATGGTAAACTGCACCAACAGTCTTGCTGGGCCCTAGTCCTTCAGTGACCAGCTGGGCCAAGCTGGGAAAATCCCTCAACCTCTCTGAGCGGCAGTGCCCCACCTGCTCAGCTTGTCCCCTGAACTTCTTTAACAGGTAAATAGCGATATCATCCCTGTCGAACAGAGGTCACCAGCTGCTGGATGCCTTCGTGGGCATGGGTATTCGAGAACACGCTTAACGTTTGTTTGTTCATACGTTCTCCCACTGATCAGTGATCTCTAAGCAGGCAGAACCCCGTCATCCCACATGTCTTCTAGCATGTGGTGTAGTGAGGCGTCTGTCTGTAAGGTACGAATAATTTTTAGATAAGATTTTCTATGGCGACTTTTCCGTAGCTAGCCTCGGTACCGGGTCTTGCTGTGTGCTTTTTATATCCTTCGTTCCCTCCTACCAGGGTCTCGGTGACAACGGTGGGCGAGGGGCGGCTGCTCTAGGCTCCGCTTCGACCCCAGGAGCTTCAGCAGACGTTAGCACCCGGGTCGCTTCCCAGGGATGGGAGAGCACGACTCGCCGCAGCGCCGCCGGGACCGGTCCGCGCGGGGTCAGCTCAGATCCCGGTGACGCACCCGGCGGAGGCCTCCCTGCAGGCTGGGTAGAACCAGGGCGGCGGGGGTGGCGGGTACGGCACGGACCGTCCCGCGCACACGGAATCATCGAAGACTAGGCGCCCGGGGGCCAGAAGCCCGCCCTGCCCTGCCCAGGCCGCAGTCCGGGTGTCACCTGCTTTCCCGGGCCACAGTGCAGCGACGGATTCGGTCCAAGCCGGCAGCGGCGCCTCTGCAGCTCTGGGCAGGAGAGGACCCGGCCTGGTGGGCGTGGCTAAGACGGAGGGCGGGGCCTGGGCGGGGCCAGGTGCTGGCTCTGCCTGTCAAAAGGCAGCCGCCGAGCCGGCAGCGCGGGAGCGCCGGGCAGCGTGTCCACCGCCGGACCAGGTGCGGACCCGGGAGCAGCGGGAAGGGGGTCCTGGGCCAGGCACTGGGCCTAGGGTCGGGCGTCCGGGGTCCAGGGGGCCGAGTGCCTGGGTGAAAACGCTAGAGTCTCGGGAGCAAAGCGGGTATGGGAGCTGCGGTGCCATGAGGTTGGGACAGCGAGAGGGCACTGAGGTCTGGAAAGCCGAAGTTCGTGCGACCCTGGCGAGGGGGCCAGCCACTTTCTCGATGCCCAAGTCCTTGGCTGGGACGGTGCTCAGCATGTGAACAACAAGAAGTATTTGTTCCCCTGCCGGGAGCCTTGGCATGGTGTGGAGGACTAGAGTAGGTAGGGGAGCGACTGGCTGTCGTTGGTGCTAAGGTCTCTAGGGGTGGAGTGTGTGTAGCCTTGTTTATGACTTGGTAGGGCCCGTGTGTGGTCACCTGTGGTAGTGAGCAGAGTCTAGAGTTTTCTTCACTTTCTAAAATCACCAATGGTTTGAGACCTCATTGGCTCTGGGACACTGGGTTTCATTTTCAGGTGAGCCTGTCCACAGATGCCCAGAGGAACTCAGGGGGAGGGGGCAGGCATGAAATTGAAGAGGGGGTTGCAGGAATAGTTTCTGTTTGGAGAGTGAGGGGCCCTGAATCCCGTGATTAGTAATATTCTGAGATTAAGAGGGAGTATCAAAGAGGGAAGTGTATTATGTGGTCTCCAGGGCCAGTGGTTGGCAGCCCACCCTCCATCCCCCACCCATGAACCAGAGGCTGAGGGAGCCATGAATCTCTGAGCCTAGATCCTCCTCCTCCTCCTCCTCCTCCTCCTCCTCTTTGTGGTGGGTGAGTCAGCCTCCTGTCTGGGCTCAGTTGCAGCCAGAGGGGCCAGAGCCCAGGCAGGCAGTTTGGGCAGGCATTTTCTGAGCATTGCAGAAGTTCTGGGCAGAGTTCAGCTCTGCCTTGGTGCCCTGGGGAAGACCAGCTTCTTCATGAGCAGCAGAAGGAGGGTGTCAGATATCCATTGCAGCAATGGTTGTTTGATGGTATGAGGTGATTCCAGAAGATGACCATGAAGGGACTGTGGCTTTGTGTTAAATCCACATCTCTCCTTATTCTCTAGGACGGGGGGTACATCTCAGTACTGTTGTCCTATCCAGATGCGTGTTCCATTTCTGCCCTGTTGGCTGCCCTTCCTGACTAATAAGGTGGGTAGGCATGCAGGAGAACTAGAAGGTTCTGGAACCAGAAAATGCAAGGAATGCTTTCTCCAGACTACGAAGTAAGAGTGACTTTCTGAGGCAAAGAAGGAACCTCAACTGTGTGAAATGGGGCTGCTGTATGTTTGGGGAGACCTTCCCTACGCCTTCCCCATCTGAGGGCTAGAGGGAATTGTGGATCTATCTAGAATAGTTTCAGGACTGGCATGTAGCCAGACCAGGAGGAGTGAAAATTTTTGTGTAGTTTTGTTGTAGGTGCTAGAGACTGGAGCAGAAATGGGTGCCCCGAGGCCCATGGCCACCTCTCAGTACTCTTTCTGGTCTATTTGAGAAGAGTCCAGGAGGCCAATGAGGCTATGTCGCTGCCTCAAGCTGCAAAACCTGGGGAATCCACAGACTGTGTTCTGGCTGAGTCTCATGGCTTCAGGTTTGACTGGTGCTCAGCTGTGACTTGGTTCCTTACCAAAACAAAGGAAGGACTGAGGGAGAGAAGGGGAGAGAGTCAAGCAACCATGCTGGCCCCTCACTCCAACATGACATGACCTGGGAGGCCCCAGTGCTGTGTAAAGTGCTCTACTTATTTGTGGTATGGTTTCCCAGTTTTCCCCCTTTTCTATCTCAGAAGTGATCTCTTTTGGGGACTGAGCCCCAGAGGAAGTGCCAAAAGACCATCTGAGCTCCTACCGTCTGCCTTCAGCACAGATTGCAGAAAGCCCAGGCTTTCAATGGAGCAAGGCTTAGGGCCTGGTAGGCTGGACCTAAAAGGTACCAAGACAGAAGAAGGATTCTGTCATTCAGTTTTTTACCCCACCGTCATAGAAACCGAGATGACAGAGTCACAGCTGGAAAGCTGCTGTCGTCTGTGCAACAGTGAGTTCTCACAGCCAGAGAGCCAGGCAGGGTGCCTGGGTGACATTCGAGTTTGTGGCTGGGTAGGGGATTAGAGGGCTCCAGCTCCCACCTGTCAGTGCTGTGAGCCCAGTTGGGGTACAGGTCGAGGGAATGAGGAAATGACCAGATTTGATTAAGAGCCTCCTGTGTGTCCCAGCATGGTGCTAGGCCCTCTGAGGGATGCCATCAACCAGACTAGGCCTCTGCCTCCAAGACCATCAGAGTCCCAGAGAAGCAGCAGCTCCAAGTCACCCTGCTCCCCTCTTCACTGCTGTCCAGCTCAAGGATCCCACTGTGTGGAAGCCAGCCTGGCTGCTGCTCTGGACCACCAAGGCCTCCCTCCTGTTCCGCTTCTCTGATTTGTCCTTAACCTTTCCTTGCGTCAGTGCCTTCCTGTATAATTTATCATCCAAACTGGGATTCTTGCTAGTGAACGGGATGTTGTACATGGTTCTGCCAGGACAGTGGACAAAATCCAAAACTGTCCAGGGCAAGCTGGACCATCTAGTCATTCAAACCCAGCAGTGGTCACAGTGATAAATGGACAAGGAGGCTGGGAGAGGCTTAATGCCGAGGTGGAGGTGGGAGTAACACGGTTCTGAGGGCAGCCCTGACACTCCAGTTTCCTCCCTCGTCAGCTAATTCTTGTTTCTTCCACATGGGTAGTACTGCTCCAGGCCACCCCGTCTCAAGACCTAACCTACCACTTAAGTGACTTCCTTTCACCCTTCACTTGTGACTAGCCTTGCTTTGGTTTTTCCTGCCCCACCCCTACCTCAGACAGGGACAGGAAGGCCTGCCAACTCTTCTTCAGCTTTGTGGGGAGAACACAACACCTGCTGGGATTTATAGAAGAGCCAAGACTCAGCTTCATACTTCCTCTTCCCTCTTCCCCATTTCCTGTGGCCTCTACATTGGTCCTTTCAGCCTCCCAGACCTCTAGGGACTATCACATCCCATAGGGAAATCCTGCTGTAAAGTAAATAAGCAACCAGGAAGGGAAGGGTAATCAAATCGTGTCCAGCAGATAAAGGACACAGGTCACTTGGAATCAGGATCCAGGGAAATGAAAAGCAATGTGGAGACCAGAGCTGACCAGAAGTTGCTCAGCTGCTCTTGGACACTAGAGTCTGACTCTTCTGTCCCATCTGACTGTTGGAGAAATGGTCCAGGGTGGGGACAGACACTTCTTGCTCAACCTAAGCTATAGGCGTTGGTGGCAGTGACAGCATCCTGTCGTGGTACCATGTGGAAGAGAAACTTGCCCTCCCTTCTGAGTCTTGGGCCCTGCGGTCCAGATGCTCAGGTCAGCCTCCCCGGAGAGTCCCCGATGGCTGAGTGTGTGAGTGATTAGCACAATAGGGCATGGGGGGGAGTGGAGTCTCCATGACTGTGTAGTGACTTGTCTACTGTGGCAGGAAGGAAGTCATTCATTCTCATCAGGACAGATGAGAAGGCAAGTGAGAACCTCTTGGGAAATCCCATCTTTGAAACAACTTGTGCGGAGGTGGTGGTGTTGAGTCCCTGGGCTGGCTCAGGGAGGAAGAGGGTCCCTCTACTGGCTGGGAGAGGAGAGGGAAGAAGGGTGGGCAAATGGCAGAGGCTGGAGGCAGAAGCAGGAGGAGCTCTGGGAGTCTGAGTGTGTCATGCTTTTGCAAACCTGCCCTGCAGGTCCCATGCTAAGGAATAGACTAAGCAGTGTTCCCAGAACCAGATGCCACACAAAGTCCTCATTCTGCACAGGGGAGAGTCCTGGTCCTGTGCAGGGTGTGGGCAGCTGTACCAGCGGGAAAGTGGAGTTTGGGCAAGACCAGCACCCGTTCCTGGGAAGCTGCTGCCTCTCACTGGCCTTTGGATGCCAAATTGAAGCTTTGAGGTGTTTTGCAAGGTGTGGCGTTCCAGACAGTGTGAAGCACTGAAGGCTTTACTGGTGACACATCCAGTGTGTGCTACCTGCTGGCATTGGAGTTATAGCTCTAGGAACAGTGGCTCACTGAGTACTCAGTAACAAGGTACTGTGTTATGTACTTAACAAGCATGGTTCCTCAGCCCTGTCACTTTACTTTGTGAAGCAGAAACCACTGCTACATCCACCTTATAAATGGGGAAACTGAGGCTCAGTGGGGTTGCAACACGAAAAGGAGAGTCTGGACTGAACTGTCTGTAGGATGGTGAAACCATGCTTGTAACTTCCAGGAGCTCTACACCTCTGCATCCCCCAGGGAAGTCACAGACACTTAGTGCCATGGCTTGCATGTTATAGGCTCGCAATAAATGTTGTGAGCTGCAGGGTTAGATTTACTAACTAGTTTGGACAAGTTGACTTGAGAACAAGCTCACTTTGCCCAGAGGTTACTCTGGGCATGGTAGTTTCTCAGAAGGCCCCTTTAGACCTCTGTGCCTCTGTTGTGGTCTTAGACATATATTAAGTTTCAGAAACATGAAGGAACCTAAGCGGTGTAGCATTGTGCAAAAGTTACATGGAATCCAGCATTGGCTGGAAGGTACATAAGAAATCCTCACGCCCGGTACAGTGGTATGCACCTTTATTCCCAGCACTTGGAAAGCAGAGGCAGGCAGATTTCTGTGAGTTCCAGATCAGCTGGGAGACCCTGTCTCAAAAAGATTGAAATTTAAAAAAAAAAAGGAATCCTCTTTCAGTTTCAAAGAAGCCACTATACGGTTGCTCTACTGGGTGCCAAGTACAGCAGGTTAAAGATGCCACTGTCCCATTCGCCCATGGGAACTCTTTTTTCTAGGCCTCTAGCTTCCTCTGACCACCTCTAGCCAGGCCCTGTGTTGATCTCTCGTCGCCTTTATCCACATGCTTTCAGCATTAATGCACATTGATTTTCTTTAGCTGGGGCTACAGAGAGTTTGATGAGTTTAGGCTATCAGGAGCTGGGCCACAACTGGGCAGAATAAAGGAACCAGAGTCTGAGTTACACACTGCCTTCACATCCCAGCAACGTCACTTTCTAGCTAATGACCTTGGGCAAATTTCTTTATCTCTCTAAATCTCAGCTTCCTTATCTGTAAATTGAGGATAATAATAGTTCCAATGTGGGATTGTGTGAGGATTAGCTGAAACCAGTCAAGTGCCTGGCACAGAGTAGGCCCTTGAAAGACTTGTACAGTCATTCAGCAGACATGGGCTAAGATGCTGGAAACTTAACAGCAAGATGACTCTCACGGTCTTTCCAAATTAATAGCACAGAAACCACTGTAAAAGACCCCATGGGAACTCAGAAATGGCTATTCTGGCTAAACACAGATTTGACAAGTGAGTTCTCATTCTGCTATTAGACAACGGGCTTGGGGTGTTACTAAGTGTCTGTGACTCGGGTTCCTCAGTCTTTCTTGTTACTGTTTTTTAACTGAGAAACAACAGGTCATCCTCACAACAGTGTATAATATGCTTAGAGAGTAACAGCATAAAACTCTACACCAACCACTAAGTGAAGAGTAGAACATTTGCAATATATTCTAATTTAACTTTAAAAATATGTGTGTGCATGTGTGTGTGTGTGGTGTGCATGTGTGTGTGTGTGTGTGTAGGCCAGAGGACAACCCCAGGTGTCATTCTCAATAACACCATCCACCTCCTTTGAAACAGGACTGCTCATTGACCAGGAGCTCATCAATCAGGCTAGACTGGCTCGTCAGCGAGCCCCTGGAATCCTCTTGTCTCTGTCTCCCCAGTGTTGGGATTACAAACTTTCACCATGATTCTTGACATTTTTTTTTTCATGGGCTCTAGGGATCAAACTCAGGTTTTCATGCTTTTGAGGACAAGCGCTGTACTAACTGAGCCATCACCCTAGACGTACAGTATGTTAAAAGCCCTTTCCCCTCACCCCATTTTCATCCCTCGCCTCGCAGTCCAAGGTAAATTTTGGTTTATTATTTTTCTTGCTTTTCTTTATGTCTAAATTTGTCTTTGTAAATTTTGGTTTATTATTTTTCTTGCTTTTCTTTATGTCTAAATGTGTCTTTGTATTGTCCTGTGTTTTTGTACATGTATTCTCTGTGACACACTTGTTTCATTCAGTGTTATATTTCTGAGGTCTCTCTATACTGACACACGTTACTGTGGTTCATTAGTTTGCACTGTGATGTAGAATTCCATTGGGAATACACCGTAAGTCCTATGTCCTTGCTCTTGCGAGTGCTCATCTGGGTTGTTTCCAGTTTGGGGCTACTGTCAGATGACAAGATGCCTGCCTCCCCTAGTACACCTCAGAAAGGCACTGCTGGTTCATACGGCATTTTAGGCTAAAAACAGAAACACCACCTGTGGATGGAAGCTTCCATTATTGCTCATCTTTTCAATACCCAATATAGACTTCATTTCCAAAATGACAAAGTTGTACTAGCGCAGTTTCTACAGCCCCTTTTAGCTATCTGGCATTGTTATGGCCCGGGGACCTGGTTTCTGTTTGAGATACTGTAAACAGGTGACCTTGGACATGATGAGAACTGTGTGATGGGCCTCCGGGCATAATGAAGATCTGACTGTCTGCTCTTCCAGCAGCAGGGGATGAGGGATTGCATGTCTACATTCTTTCTGAAAGTTCATGACTCTTCAGTCCAGCCAAGAGCCCAATGTCAGCACTGAGCACATGCTAGATGCTCAATTGGCATCTGACGGGTTGCATTTTTGTTGTGGAGAGGTACACATTTTCCTTGGATGTCAGTTTTGAGAAAAGGGCACAAAGTATGAGAACCATGTGTGCGGTGATAATGGCAGCACTGGGGCTGGGACCATGATGGGATTCACGGGGCCCAGGCTTCTAGGATACCTAAAACTCCAGGCCAGCTGCATTCTTCATTGGCCGATCGTTCTGAGTCTGGCTTTGTTTAATTGGCTTTCTGACTTGGCCTCTCTGGAGGGTTAAGATAGGGGGACAGAGGAGGTGCCATGGGGAGAGTAGCCAAATGCCCTCAAGGTCGAACAGCCTACCTGGGGATGCTGGGGAAAGGAGTTATTAGATGTACCCAGCATCCTGGTAGCCACATAAACAACCAGCTGCCCACCCAGCCACCCACCCACTCTCCTATCGGACTAAAGAATATGGCTGGCTGGGCAGTTGCACGGGCCACCCCAGCCTTCAAATCTGTAATTACCCAGCTAGTCTGTGCCTGTCAACTCCAGGGACAGGCAAGTGCCTCTGCCCTGGGCTTCACCTTGGCTGCCAGGCCCAAGCCAGGCTCAACAACCGAGGCTTGCCTGTCTTCCTCCCACATGGCCCCCACCCCTACCCAGTGTCTTTCTCCCTACAACAGCCTTTGACCCCTACAAGGTTACCATATTATACAACAGCTGAATATCATATTAACCAAAGGTTAATATAACTTTACTGTATTTCAGGCACTGTATTAAATGCTTTTTCGGACATTTTCTCACTTATACTTCTCAAAAATCCAAGGACATAGGTAATGTTATCCCTGTTTTAGGGAGAGGAAATGGAAGGTCAAAGAGATTGAGGCTGAACTTTTTGCACAAAGTCATCAAGTTGCTTTTTGAGAACCAAAAGCTTTAATTCAGGCCTTCCTAAGTCCCCAACATGCCCTTTCTCTCCTCTGCAGGATCAGGTCATCTGCTCAGCCCCGTCCCCTTCTTGTCTGAGGAGGGTTGGAAAAGAGGCAGCCAGTAGGTCCTGACCAGGATGAGCGGACGGCTCTGAGCTGGCCTGGAGATGCTGGAAAACACCTTCAGGGCAGAGTTCTTTGTTCCAAACAGCCCTGAATTTCTGGCCTTGTGCCAGGGGTGGGAAGTTGCCTCTGCCCAGCCTATTTGGCAAGCACATGCACATCTTGGGTGCCATGCTGTTTAGAAGTGGAGGAGGGGCTGCCGCAGGTAAAATTCCATCCTAATGAACTCCGTTGGAGATCTGATGCCTTTGTTGAAACCCCATGAGCAACCTGGGAAACTGGAGGTGAACTAGAGCTAATTCAAAGTTGGGTGTCTCCTGGTAAAGCCCCCAAAGGTGCTGATCCTGTAACAAGAAAGAGAAATTTTGAGTCAAATCTACAGCAGAACTCCCTTGAATGCAGTGCTTAAATGGTTGGGGACAGAGCTGGAGGGGGGAGAGCTTGGTGCTTTTCCACCTGACATTACTGTAACTGTGTGTTCAGTTGTTGACTACCTCTACTGTGAACCCCAAGAACCAAATCCCATCACTGCAGGGATGTGGCTCAGCACAGGGCCTAATGTCTTACAGATTCACTCAGAAGATGTTTATTGGATAGAAATATGTTTGTATATAGATCAGGTCCCCTGAGGTAGAAAGGAGAGTTGAAGGGAAGTTGTACTATGTGGACCAGGCTGGCCTTGAACTCACAGAGATCCACCTGCCTCGGCCTCCCGAGTGCTGGGATAAAAGGCGTGCATCACCACGCCCAGCCTAGTGATTACATTTCTTAAAAAGCTGGAATGTAGTTCAAATGAACCCCCCCCAACTCAGTGATTGTACCAATTCTACACAGTCACTAGCACCAACATTGATGAGGAGGTGCTCAATGCAAGGCACGGAGCTAAGCAGTCAGCATGTATTATCCCATGGAAACTTCACAGGCCTAGGACATATGTACTACTATTTTCTTCTCATTTCACAGATGAGAAAACAGAAACTAAGAGTGTGCAGGTAACCGTGAGTGCAGCAAGTCTGAGGGAGAAACCAGAAACTCGGCCCAGCCAGGTAAGCTGGCTCCAGGACCTGTTCTAATTGTGTCTCCCCGACTACAGAGCTCTGCTGACACTGGGCCAATGCAGGGGCCAAGGCCAGAGAGTCAGACTGGAGGGGTGAGATGGACTGAAAGGCACCAGCCTGGTGTATAGACGGGACCGACCTCAGGCCAGCAGGAACTGGAACCACAGCCCAGCGTGGCCACATGATCCAATTTTTTTAAAATTGAAAACTGGACACACAGTGTTTTCTCTTTTTGAAAAGTGAAATCTCTCCCTCTTTCTCTCTCACTCTCTGTCTCTTTATGCACATATGCATGTGGGGTGTGTGTGTGTGTGCATGTGTGTGTACATGTGCACGCACACACATGTGGAAGCCAGAGGTCAATCTTGGGCATCTTTCTCAGTCACTTCACCTTATTTATTGGGACAAGATCTCTTCTTACTGAACCCAGAGCTCTCCAATTTGGCTAGACTGGCTGGCTGACCAGCAAGCCCAGGGATCCTCCTCTCTCCCCTCTTATATTGGGATCAGAGGTCAGGCCACCTTGCCAGCTTCTACCTGAGTGCCGAGGAACCAAACACAGGTCCTCATGGTCGCATGACCAGCACTTTACCAGTAGAAATCTCTGTTTCTAAAACATTGATAATGGATTTTTTTAAGCTTGCAGTTACTGTTGGTGATGGGAGGGGGCACCAGAACACATCTCATCCTGAAGCCCCTCACTAGAAGGCAAATAACCACCGTATTTGGTGAGTTATCAGGGAAGCTCTCAGACTGCACCCATAGAGTTCTTTTCTCCCTCCCTCCCTCTCTCTCTCTCTCTCTCTCTCTCTCTCTCTCTCTCTCTCCTCCCCTCATCTTCATACTCAGTTGCTCAAGTCAGAGATTTCCCCATAGATATTAGTAGGAAAATCATGTAAGAGAAATCAAAAAGAAGCTAGCAAGCCTGAGGATGTGGCTCAGCTGGTAGTGCTTGCCTAGCACGCAGGAATCATAGGTTGGATTCCTGGCACCACATAAACTGGCTTTGGAGGCACGTGTCTGTAATCTCAGCACTTGGAAGGTGAAAACAGGCAGATCAGAAGTTCAGGGTCATCCTTGGCTACATAGGATCTTTGAGGCCAGCCTGGGCTACATGAGATACTGTCTTTAAAAAATAAACAAAGCACTACAAGAAGCTAACCATCAAGGAAAGGATCTCCAAGGGTCTCTAGGAAAAAAAAAAACAAAAAACAACCAACCAGTGGAAGATTTAGAATGGATATGACACTCATATGGACTCTATAAAAATCCTATGTGCTATGCATGTGTTGCTAGGAATTGAACTTGGGCCTCAGTGGTCTGCTGCTGAGCTGCACTTCCAGCCCTTCCTCTGCCCTTGGCTGGGAAGCCTGGTGCTAGCAGACAGCCCGTCAGGACCCTGAAATCCTTGTGTGTCTTTCTCAGCTACTGCCTTATTCCTGATTTAATTCCTCCTCCTCTCCAATACATGGGAGAATAATGGCAAAACAAGAGGTGTCATTTTCATAGAGTGTGACAGCTTTTAGAACACGTTTGGAAATGTTTTATGTCAGCTGATTCAATGATCTTGTGTGTGGTATACTTTATCTGAGGCTCAATGAAGTGGCAGTGCTTTCTTCCTCTTGCTTTCATTCATGAGAGCAGGAGCCATGCTTGGAGAATGAACAGCCCCGGTTCCCACAGGCCTTCGTGACCTTCACTCCCCACCTTCGGTCTGCAGGTGGTGGCCGGTGGGACATATAGTAAGTAATGAGTGAACACCTGATTACCGGGTCACCTCCTTTCTGCAAAGCCTTACTTCAGGGAGAGTAGGCAGTGGGCATGGGGTAGGACCTAAGCAGGTAGTGCCCCATGACCAGCTTCCTCCCCAAACCCACCCCCACTGCCTGTCACCCTGAATTATTATTCCAAAAGCTGGGCAGAAAATAGCTCACTCAAGAGAATTATTTTTGCCTCTGTTAAACTTCAATCCAAGGCTCCTGCAGAACCTGACTGTAGAGCTGTTTTTCAGGTCAGGAGTTCTGGGAAAAAAGGGGAAGCATTGGGGAGGGCACCACCTTTACTCCCAGGGATGGGAAGGGCCATGACTACTGGCCTCTTCCCCTTGAAAGCTGCTCACTGGCTGCTCACCTGGACAGAGTGGACCCAGTCCAGTGGGGCAGACAGCAGTGAGTGAGCACCCTTGATCATCACTCCCAACTCTCAAGCCTGGGTCCTGGGGACAGTGGGCATGGGGAAGGCCCTAAGCATAGCTGGCTTTCCCTACAAGCCTTTTACTTGAGCCAGGCTCTTAACTGCTCCATCACAGTCCTTCTCTAGGATGTCTGGCTCTGCAGCAAGTTTGAAGAAAGGGGCTATTTGCCCAGTGTAGAGGCTGGGTGGGCAGCAGGCTGCTGGCTACCAGGAGAAAGAAAAGTCATTCCTCTAGAGACCCCAGGGCTTAGCTCCTCCTCTGTCCTGAGACAGCATTCATTGGAAGCTGTTCAATCTTACATACACACCAAAGAAAAATAAGGGAGAGGAAGGCAGCCAATGGGCAGGAACTAGGCAAGGTGGGCAGTGGTTTGGAGGCTTCCCTGGTGGGGCAGAGGCTGCTCTTTCCTACCACTCTGTGGCCCTGAGGAAGAATCCTTCAGGAGGATTATGGAGGGCAAGGTGAGGCTTGTGTCCACCGAGTTTGGACATGTGGCCTCCATATAGGTTGGCGGGTACCTACACACAGATAGGGCTTGGTGCATGTTTTGGTGTGCACTGTGTATTTTTGTGTCTCGTTCCCTTCCTTAAAGTGATTCCTGGCAACATGAAAGTGACTTGTTGGCCAGGAGAGCAGGGTGCACTGAGTGGCCTGGCAGAGGCAGATTTGGAGATCCGGTGGCTTGGTGGTATCTGCTTTTCCTGTGCCAGGCAACCATATCTGGGTACCTTGGACAACTTGATGAATGAAGGAAGGATTGACTGGGGACATGAGAGTTGATTTGTTCACCAACTTCCATCTGCCCTTGTTGAACCATTTGTTCTTTCGATTTTTTTCTCATGAAACCTTTTATTTTCCTTGAGCTGGGCTGAAATTTTCTGGAACTCTCTCCTCTACCTCTCTCTTGTAGCTCAGTAACTAATAGTTTTAGACTCAAAGCTAAGAATTCCACTAGGACTCTGGGTCTACACCACAGGTCCTTGACTGTGTGGTAAAAGAGATCTGCTTGGCTGGACTTTGGCCGTCCTTTCTCAGTGAACCAATGCTCACCAATCTCTTTCTTTCATAAAATTGTAGTTGGAAAGGGAATTTGAGTAGGGTCTCAAAGTCTTCTGTTCCAAAATATTATTACAGCAACTCCAAATTCCTGGTTTTCATGACTCACTGGGTTTACTAGAAGTACTTGGTAGAGGACAGGATGGAATATACTTCCTAAGATCTGGAATGAATGTGGCCCGCTGGTTCATCTCTTCTGGATCTCCTCCTCCTATTCCTTCAGCCCTGTTGCACCAGTCTGTCCCCCAAAGCATGTTCTTTCCCTTCTGCCTCCCAGTCTTTGCACGTACCATACCCCCTTCTTGGAATCTTACACTGGCACATTGAACTCTACTGCCTCTCCCTCTCTGTTGAGAGGTTGAGAGGGGCCACCTCCTAAGAACCTACTCTTGTCTCTTCTTCCGGGGACAAGACCAGGGCTCTGAGACATGGTCCTGTCCTTTCTTGTGCTTACCTGCACCACAGCATGTCATACTGAACCAAAGAATCCTGCTTGTAAGCTTCAAGAAGATCTTCATCTTGCTCACCGTGTGCCTCCAGCTTCGAATTCACGTCATTAGTCAATGCTTAATGCTAGGCAGATCAGAGAGCAGCTGGCAGATGCTTGCTTAGCATGCTCAAGGCCCTAGATTTCATCCCCAGTACACAAATACCAGGCAGCAGAAGCCAAAGTCAATGCCCATGACTATTTTTGAAACAATGCTACAGCCCTCCTGCCCTCTAAAGGGATCCCCGAGAGGAAATCTGCACAGAGGGCTGTCCACAGTCTGAGCAAATAGAAGGTATGGGAATCTCTCTAGGGTGATGCCACTCTAATCAGAACCAAGGGGGCAGTCAGTGTTGCTTGGGGTGACTGCTGTTGCCTCTGAAGTGGATGTGATCCGCCCACTTGGCCTAGGCCCTGAGAAACTTCAGGAAGCATCCTCTCCTCCCTAAGAACCCAGAAGAGAGACACAATAACGGTAAATCAGCCCCTCATGGAACTGGAGCCACCAGGCCTACCCATTTTGGAGAAGCCCAGGGCCCTTCACTGATTCTGACCTAGGCCCCAGAACCCATCCTGGAATGAATGGGAAAGGCAGCAAAGGTCCCACTTCAGTCCGCATCAGGTCCTCTTAGAGGGCCTTCCAAGAGCTGGGGCAGCCAGTGGTTCAGGGTCCCCCCGGCCCCCACTGCACCTTCTGGCTGCAGCCCCTTCACACTGCTTCTCCCCGTGCTCTCCTGCACACAGTGGTAAGCAGGCACAGGATAAAGGCTAACTGTCCCAGGACAACGAGGAGGTTGTCATGATTCCAGTCCCACTAAAGTAAGGACAGATGCATGATAGGAGACAGGTGCCAGAAGACGCTGGAAGAGTGATAGGCAGAAAGGGTAAATGAGCAAAGTCTCAGGCTTTATATTCTTTGTGGAGGAAGTCCAGATTTGCAGGCCATCTTCTCTGCTTATTTGGAGAGAGTCAACTGATCCACTTTCCATCATCTGAGCAACTCGAGTTCTGGAAGCCACAGTGAATAGATGGAGTGGCCAGGTTTTTTGCAACCTGGCAAACTTGTGGCTTCTGATTGATCTTTGGGGTAGAGATTCAGGATAGAGCACAGGCTTCCTGCCCTCCCCAGTATCTGCCCAGAACTGGCAGCTCTTCTTGTTCTAGGAGGATGGCTCTTCAGGGATTTCATTTGGTCCTCAGGTGCTGCCCATGTTACTCTTTGTAGATAAGGAACAGACAATGGATGCTGAT